CTCCCTGTCCAGATGTGTGTGTTCGCTAATCTTGCTTTGTGTATTCCCGTGAAATGTTATTATTAACTAAATATATTCACACACACACCCTTCTTCCTATGCAGTTTGTCTTCCCCTACAGATCTGATAAGAGCATGGATTCTGAAATCCCTTAACCAGAGCCTAAAGCCGGGAAGCTGGACCAGAATTAAGGGCTTCCTTTTTTTTTTTTTTTTTTAAATAAATGCTTGTTTCTCTTTTTTTGAAAGGCCGAGTTACAGAGAGAGGAGAGATAGATCTTCCTTCTGCCGTTTTTCTCCCCAAATGTCTGCAATGGCTAAAACTCAGAAGTCTGAAGCCAGGAGCCAGGTGCTCCTTCAGGTTTTCCACATGGGTGCAGGGCCCTAAGGGCTTGGCCTGCCTTCCCCTGCATCCCCAGGTACATTAACAGTTGGATCAGAAGTAGAACCATGAGGACTCAAACTGGTGCCTATATTGGATGCTGATGCTGCGGATGGAAGCTTAACCTATTATGCATTGGAACCAGCCCAGTAATTAGTTTCTTAATAAGTAGAAAAAAAAGTTTTTCATGTTCTTTCTAAGTGATAAGTATAATGATTTAATTGATAGTTCATTTTCTAAATAGCTTTATTGAAGTACCATTGGTACATGAAATTACATGTACTTAAGTGTACCAGTTAATACTTTCAAACTCACACATATAGTGCATTTGTTACCATAATCAAGCTAATTAACATGTCTACTACTTCTACACAAGTACCCCACTGTGTGTGTGTGTAAGAGAGAGAATGTGTATGATTTAAATAATTAAGATTTATCTTCCTCAAGTAGGAAGGATAAATACATGAATAGCAACAAGACTGGAAAAAAAGAAAGTCACATTTTCTGTGTTTAGAGATGACATGATTTTATATATGTAAAAATCTAAAAATTCCACCAAATGCTACTAGAACTGATAAACAAAGTTGCAATTTGCAAAATAAATGTGCAATAAACAGATTTTTTGTATGCTAATAATGAATTGCAGTAACAGAAATCAAGAAAGAAATCCTAGCCACAATAGCCATAAAAGATTAAAAAGATAGCAATAAATTTAAATGAAGAGACAGATCTCAGTAATAAAAATTGTCAACAAAAATTGATGAAGGAAATAATCAAGAACAGAAAAAAAAGGGAAGCACATTCTTCACTGATGCACTGCAAAAATCAATATCATTAAAAAGCATATACTACTTAGAGCAATATGTAGACTCAGTGCAATCCCTATAAAAAAAAAACAATGACATTAGTTTAGAAACAGCAATCCTGAAATTCGTATGGAATCACAAAAGGCCCAGAATAGCCAGATCAATCCTAAGCAAGAAAAATCAAACTGGAGACATTTCAGTATCTGACCTCAAGTCTTATACAAGACTATAATCAGTGTAACAGCATCATATTGGCATAAAAATTTATCTACAGTCAAATGAAAGAGAACAGGAATACAGAGCCCAAAAATTCTTCAACATATAAACAGCTACCTTGTTTTTCACAAAAGTGTTCACACTGTACAGTGTAGCAAGAAGATTCTCTTCAACAAATGGTGCATGTAAAACTACACATGCATACCGCAAGAAAATGTGGAAGAACCACTTGGGTAAGACCCCTGAAGCACAGGAAACAGAAGCAAAACTGAACAAATGGGACTATGTCAAATTAAGCAGCTATTGCGTAGCAAGCAATCAACAGAGAAAAGACACCAACAGAATGAAAAATCAAATGTTTATTAACCAACTATCCAACTAAGATTAATAATCTATATATATCAGCAATTTAAAAACTCAATTACAAAAAAGCAACCAATCCAGTTGTAAAAATGGGCAAAGGACTTCAATACTTCTTAAAAGAAGAAATACAAATGTCGAACAAATATATGAAAAAAAAAATGTTCAGCATCACTATTCATGAGGGAAACACAAATCGGAATCACAATGTGACAATACCTCACCCCTCTCAGAATGGCTAAAATCCAAAATATAGAGTAACTAATGTTGGCAAATATGAGAGAGGGACGGACTCACACACTCTCGGGGGGAGTGCAAATTGGTGCAGCCTATTTGAAAAACAGTGAGGAGATTTCTTAAAAACTAGAAATAGAGCTGGCATGTGATCCAGCAATCTCACTACTGGGTGTACAGCAAAAAGAACTGAACACAATGAATCAAAGAGCTGCTTCACTGATGTTTTTAGCAGCACTGTTCACAATATCCAGAATTTGGCATCAACCAAGGTGTCTGTTAGCAGATGAATGGATTAAAAAATGTAGTATATATACACAATGGAATATTATTCAGTTATAAAATATAGTGAAATTCTACCATTTGCAGTAAGATAGAGTCAACCAGAGCTGAGCTGATCCAAAGCTGTTGTTGGAAAGCTTCTTCCTGGTCTCTTAGTGGGTGCCTGCAATTAAGGCCCTCTGCCATCCTCCTTTGCTGTTCAGGCCATAAGAGAGAGCTGGATTAGAAGCAGAGCAGCCAAGAGTAAAGTGGGTGCTGCAGACAGGATTAGCCTACTATGTCAACAAACTGGCTGCACTAACACTGCTGTAAACTTTGTCAGACCTTAGGAATGCCACACTACTCTAGTTTTAATGATCTTTAATGATCTGTGATATTTTAAAATTTACTGTATATGAGTGAAATAGTCATTTCCATTCAATTCTTGCTTATAATCATTTTCTGCATTCCTACTAAAGTAAGGACTTTTTGCTTTTTACTTGTTGCATTTTGTATTCAATGAACTATTAAACCTTTCATTTTGATGTAAATTTAAAATGTTATCTCAAAAATTAAAAAAAAAAAGACTACAAGAATGGAAGGTGGGAGGGAGAGAGGCAGGAAAATATTGTATCCGCAAATCACATCGAATCTATAAACATTTGCTAGAAATTAGAATAAAATATAGAAAAATACAATAAAATTAGGATTAAAAATAATTTACTTCAAATCAAGTAAAGTGGTTTGTCCTCATAGTAAATTTCAAATGTGCAATATAATCTTCTTAACCACAATCAATATACAGTACACAAAGTGTTCTTAAATTATTCATCCATGTACAGGCTATTGAAACATGAGGAGTTTAACAACTCCATCTAGTTTGGCTTTTATTGCAAAGTTAGAATTGAAGCTACAACTAGGACTTTGACATGGGAACTGACAAAGTTCCAATCAAATTGTGCACAATATTACGTTCTTATCACGTCAATATTTAATTTACATTAAAAGCTAATTTTGGAATTTCTCACATCAAAAATATATATCCCAATCCAGTGACATTTATCCTAGAGATGTGAGGCTGGTGCAGCATTTGCTAATCCATAAGTGCCACAAATTACATGAACCAAATGAAGAACAAAAACCACATGTTCATTCCGATAGAAGCAGAGAAAAATTTTGACAAAATTCAGCATCACTTATTTATTAAAACCCTCCCAAAGGATGTGTAGAAGGAATAAATCTCAAACTTAAAAAGGTTATATGTGACAAACAGCCAATATTGTGCTGAATATAGAGAAACTGGAAGCATTTTATTTCTTATAGGAAATGAGACAACAATTTCTACTTTCACCACTCTCATCCACTGGAAGTAATAACGAGAGCAGCTACAGAGGATGAAGAAAAAGGCATCAAGATTTGAAAGGATATGAGAATTCCAGGTTTGTAGGATACGATGCTGCGCATGCAAACATAAATGCTTCATCAAGAGCTTCTGGGAACTCATAAACCAATTCAGTACTTTACTGTTCACAAAATCAACATGCAAAAATCCATATTTTATATGCAAATGATGAATTCATCAAAAGAGAAATACAAGCTATTCCACTCACAATCACATTTTGTTTATGATATTGTGTTGCATTTCTTTGTTAATATATAAATCAGAGAATGAGTCCTACCATAAAGTATCTTAATTTGCTTTATCCTTAAAAGCATTTGACAGAACCCATGGTTGATACTTAAAATATTTATGGTGAATGAACCAGTTTCAAACACACATGTATGTAGAGTTGAGTGGAATTCATTTCTGCTTTATTATTCTGTAGCATGCAAAGTGTAAATCTTACTTAATGACCAACCCTTTGGACATTTATGCAGTATAACAAAACCAGACTTGGAGTGTAAGTGTTGGATATATGAGCCTTACTCTGCTCATGACTTGAACTTTCCATTTTTGCTATGTCACGTAGCAGTTCTAGGCCATAATTTCAACATGAAAATACTTCTCACTGTATTAGTTATCTCACAAATGTAAGGATGAAAAATAAATGTTAAATGAAAACAATTTCAACATTATTTTTATTAATTAGTTAAACAACCCATGGGATTGGAATATTCTACCATATCATTCCTGGGTTATTGAGGAATGTGTTTGGTTCATCATAAGCATCCTGCCAGTGGTAGTTAACACTGTCATATTAACTGTGTCAGAGTCAGTCCCCCAAAATGTAAAACGAAAGTTCCATCTCAAGGAACAAACTATTTCCCATTCAGAATGTTATAAAACTCTGGACATACGCCTTTCAGTTAAAACTTCACTAACATCTGTACTAATTTGAATATATCATACGATTTTGTGGTCCCTACATAAAATCCTGATCCCCTTTCTTACGCTAAAGTTCCCCTTTGTCACTTTTCTTTGGGTTAAGGGGAGGTGTGATGTTTGTATGCTTTGTATTCCTAGAGATAAAGAGGGAAAATTATTGCTTAGCAGCAGACAGGTGACACTAAAATGACCAGTTCTTTTATTTTTTCCCTTCTTCCCCGATATCTTAAAAGATACAGATTCCACCAAACATCTTAATCACGGAGAAAAGCAGACCAAAAGCATAACAGAAATAAAAACTCTTAGCAGTCAGACTTTTCACATACTTCTGCAAGAAGCTTACAGTATTGAGACTTCACATTGTGAGAACACCAAGAACCACAAGCTGCATAAAAAGAAGCAAATCGCCTACTCACAAGGATACAAGCTCAGAAACCTCTCGTTGTCTTTCACCCTGGTGGTGTTGACCCCCGAGGAAATCTGCTCTGTTTCATACTCAACAAATAATGCAAACAAAACAATCATGCCCACCTCCAGGCCTAGGGCCATGAGAGGGAATTTGAACCTCATGTCTGTGGCAGAGGGCAGAGGCACACTGGCGGGCTCACAGGCTGGGAGATGTTGATAAGCACAGAGCATAGCTCTTTGCATAGAATAGGCTGCATGGTTAAGGCACCCCCATGACGTCACAGGAAAAATGCCATAAGTGTTTTAAAAAAAACCCTCACCCACCAGAAACATTATGCTCTGTAATATAATTGCTATCTGGTTTGAAGAATACATTGTAGATTGGGAAAAGTTGATACAAAAGTATTAAGGATACCATTCTAACTAATCCTGCAGGTATATTTTGTGACCTTTTTATCACAATAAAGCTATTTAACATATCCACTAAATTCTAAATAGTTAATCCATTTTATATATGTGCCTGTATGCATATCATGAAATTTAAGATTTAGCCACTTAGTAAATGACAAGAGTACAATACAACATTGTTAATTACAGTCATTATGTTGTACAGACCACCAGAAATTATTCATCTGTTGATTGGCTATTGATAAAGAAACAATTAACCTAGAATTCCCAATGGGTGATGATGGTCCAAATACTCAGGCCATCCTTCACTGGAATTAGTCTCATGGTGGAAGAAGATTGCTGGTGTTGGGAACTTAGAACTACCAGTGAAACAAATTTCTGTCATTACCCACCATTTCTAAGATACACCACGAAGAAACAAAAAAATGAAGGTGAGAGGTACCGGGGAAGGCAGTTTGGAGCTGGGAAGCCAATCTAGGTCTCCCGTGCAGGAGGCAAGGGCACAGGTACTTCAGACAACACCATGGGCAACAATGGTCCACGCTGGCAGGAAGCTCGAATCTGAGGACAAAAGCCAAGTGCTCACATACAACATGGGATGCTAGACCAAGCATCTGTGCTGCTTTGTCTCATCTTAAATGTGACACTCATGATTCTTGCTTTTTCCTTCTGAACCAGTTGCGGAGACTAGCTTAGCGAGTATATAGGATGCGATTTTGTAAGTAAAAATGGGACAAGAAATCTAAGGTATCAAAGAGCTAGTAAGGTGGGAAAAGTATGCAGCATTTTTTAAATGTTATTTTTAAAAATGTTTATTTTATGTTTATTGAAATATCAGATATACAGAGAGACAGAGAGGAAGATCTTCCATCACTGATTCACTCCTCAAGCAGCTGCAAAGGCTGAAGCTGAGCTGATCTGAAGCCAGGAGCAAAGAGCCTCTTTCAGGTCTCCTAACGCAGGTGCAGGGTCCCATGGCTTTGGGCCATACTTGACTGCTTTCCCCGGCCAAAAGCAGGGAGCTGGATGGGAAATGAATCAGTTGGGATATGAAACAGCTCCCGTATGATATTCTGGCAGATGCGATGTGTGGATTTAGCCACTAGGCTACTGCTCTGTTCCCTGTAATGTTTTAAACCTTGGTGTAAGCACAATGAATTTCAGAAATTAAGCTTCCTATTTAAAGAAAATAAAAAATTAAACTGGTTATAGTCTATAAGTATTGGAAACCAGGCAAAATACTTTAAGATTCTTGAAAAAATTTATGGTATTTTTGTTGGAAAGATAGGTTTACAGAAGGAGAGACACCGAAAGATCTTCCATCTGCTAATTCATTCCTCCAGGGACCTCAAAGTCAGGAACTGAGCCAATCCAAAACCAGGAGCCAGAAATGTTTTCTGGGTCTTCAATGCTGGTGCAGGGTGCCAAAGCTCTGGACATCTGCTTCTGCTTTCCTAGGCTACAAGGAGGGAGTTGCATGAAAAGTGAGCAGCTGGGACACAACCTGGCACCCTTATTGGATCCTGGTGTGCACAGGGCAAGGATTTAGCCACTGAGCTGGCGTGCTGGGCCTGGTGCTTTAGGTTTCTATAGTGAATGATTTTATATTTATAGAAGAATTGCAAAGGTAGCAACGCTGGGCTTGGTGTGGTGGCCTAATGGTTAAGTCCTCAACCTGAATGTGCCAAGATCCCATGTGAGCACTGGTTCTAATTCCAAAATCTTCCCTTCCCATCCAGCTTCCTGCTTGTGGCCCGGGAAAGCAGTCAAAGACAGCCCAATGCCTTGGGACCCTGCATCCGCAAGGGAGACCTGGAGGAAGTTCCTGGCTCCTGGCTTCGGATCAGCGCAGCTCTGGCCATTGTGGTCACTTGGGGAGTAATACATCAGATGGAAGATCTTCCTCTCTGTCTCTCCTCCTCTCTGTATATCTGACTTTGCAATAAAAAAATTTTTAAAAATCTTTAAAAAAAGATAGCAATGTTTACATTTCATTCACTTTTCTCTAATAATCTGAAGCATAACTATGGTATAACTCTAAAATCAGGAGATTGACATTTGTTTAATACTATTAACTAAGCTCCAGCCTTCACTCATACCCTTTTTTCTGTTCCAGCCTCTAATCTAAACTAGTTTTCTATAATCTATGACAGGTCTCCTTCTCTGTTTATCATTCACAATGTTGATTCTTCTGAATTGTACTAGTAGGGTGCTTTGCAGAGTGTCCCCGAGTTGGAATTTGCCTGATATTTTCTCAAATTTAGGCTGACTGAATAACAGTGAGCAAATGCTGTTCATTCCATTAGATCAAGGGTAAATAATACTGATATGCATGCCCAATGATAACATTAACTCAACACATGATGAAGGCAGAGAAGAGTTTTCATTTTAAAATATCTTCTTTCCATAGCCTTGCCTAGAAGGGATTCTGTATCAACCATGTGAACTTACAAGGAACACGACTGTGGTGGCACTACACAAAATTAAATTAAAAAGCAAAAAAGAATGGGGAGCGTGTGAGGGAGGAGATAGTGGAGGAGAAGGGCAAGGATCGGAAGCTGGCATCTGGGCTCCAGAGAGATCCCGCCTGATGGGCAGTGGGGCCCGAGAGAGTAGCAGCTGGAAGGAAAGGGAAGCCGCACGAGCCAGGCACGGCCTTGAGCAAGCTGCTTTTCAAAGATAAGGTGGGAAGTGAAGGGCCTCCCAGAAAATATGACAGGTCTCTAGTACTTTTTTTTTTTTTCTCCTAGAATTTGGTCTCATTCCTCATCACATGTTATCAATAGGCCTCAGCTTGCTGAGCCAGAGGCACCAATGTGTGTCAAGAGGAAGTGGTTGGTGGCATTTTAACATACCCTGACACTGGTACCTGCCAGATTGTTTCATAAGCTAGCCATAATTCTTAACATACTCCAGCAGGTGGGTCTTCTTTGTTGTTGCTGCTGTTTTTTACAAACAAAATCAAGAAACTAACTGGATGTTAAAATCTAATGCATTTAGCTTTTAGTACTTAAATTAAACTGAAGGCCTGACTCTAAAAGTATACATTTTTCCTCCCTTTGGTTAATTGATTCTGATGCTTTTTCAATAGGTGTCCCAGGTTATTCAAGAATGTTTTTATTTTCATAGAAATCTAAATAAATTGGGCCCGGTGGGATAGCATAGTGGTTAAAGTCCTTGCCTTGACATGCTGGGATCCCATATGGGCGCCAGTTCTAATCCTGGCAGCCGCTTCCCATCCAGCTCCCTGCTTGTGGCCTGGGAAAGCAGTCAAGGATGGCCCAAAGCCTTAGAACCCTGCACCTGTGTGAGAGACCTGGAGGAAGTTCCTGGTTCCTGGCTCCAGACTGGCACAGCACCGGCCATTGCGCTCACTTGGGGAGTGAATCATCAGAAGGAAGATGTTCCTCTCTGTTTCTCCTCCTCTGTGCATATCCCGCCTTATGGCCTCTCTGAGATTTAATAATAAGCTAAGCACACATCCCTAAGCGGTGGCGTCTCAGTAACAAAGCCCCCTGGCTCCCCTCCTTTGTTAAAGCAAGCTAGTGAGGCTTAAATGGATGGTCAAAAAGGATGGGCGCTGCTCTAGACAAGATCTGAAGGAGAGAACTTAGTCACTTAGACTTGGGAAAGTGACTTCTATGGTTTAATATAGAAATCACACACTTCTGGCTGGGTAGGGAGCTCAGGAAAGAGCTGAGAGCCAAGTGTGAGCAATTTGCTCAGATTGCGGTTTATAAGGGAATGGGATCATGCCCCAAGTTTTGCTTTTGATATATGTATGTATTTAAAGATTTATTTCTTTTTATTGCAAAATAAGATATACAGAGAATAAGAGAGGCAGAGAGGGAGATGTTCTGTTCAATGATTCACTTCCCAAGCAGCCACAATGGCCAAAACTGAGCCTGGAGCCTTTTCTAGGTTTCCCGCGTGGGTGCAGGTTTCCAATGTTTTGGGCCATCCTAAGCTGTTTTTCCAGGCCACAAGCAGAGAGCTGGATGGGAAGTGAGGCTTCCCGGATTAGAACCAGCACTCATATGGGATCCTGGCACATGCATGGCAAGGACTTTAGCTGCTAGGCTATCTCGCCAGACACAAAATATATATTTGAACTAATTAAATTATTAATTATTTTATTTTAAGCACAGAGTCACTGAGAGAGAAGACACACACACACACACACACACACACACACTCACAATCACACTCATGCATATACACACAGAAAGAATCTTTCAGTGGTTAGGCCACTTTTTAAATGACCGCAATGGCAAGAGCTGGACTGATCTGAAGCTGGGATTCAGGAGCTTCTTTGGAGTCTTTCAAGTTGCTGCAAGTGCTGAAGCACTTGGAGGATCTTCTGCTGCTTTCCCAGAAACCTGAGCAGTGAGCCTGATTGGAAGTGGAGCAACTTGGTCTCCAACTGAAGTCCATATAGGATGCCAGCATTGCAGGTGGCAGCATTACCAGCTACACCACAATGCTGCCCCCTTCTGTTTCAATTTGATAGCACATAAATTCAAAGACTGGGAAATTAATATTCTAAATGTTGGAGGAAGAAATGACATGTTTAAGGAAAGGATAATGAAATTTAAAACCTCAAAATAATATTGAGTATTTATTTAACTTCTAATACGCTGCCACACATAGTATATTTCTGGTAATATATATTTCTATGGCATAATAATCCATTTAAAACAATAAAAAGAAGACACATCTCTATTGAGTTTTTCAACTTTTCAAGATCATCCACTGTTAAGAGAGAAGGAACGATCAGTGTTT